CTCTTGTGTTCCGAGCCCTGAGAACTGTAACTCTGTAGTCCCCTGCAGAAGTGACCCTCCAGATACCATCTGTTGCAGCCCAATTCCCAGATCCATGTTGCAGAAAGACTCCAACAAAGAAAAGGATCAGACAAAAGAAGACGAAGCAGGCATCCTAGACCTTCCATGTGTAGTCCAGCACAGTTCACGATGGTCCATCGTGATGGACCATCATCCTGCTGTCCCACCTTGCTGCTTGAAGCTACTGACCTGTCTTGCTATGGCAACAAACTGCAAAAGATGAAGGATGGGATGACTGACCCAGCCCTGGGCCTGATTAAGAAAAGGTATAGAATTGGTATGAGCTGACAAAGGCAAATGCTAAGGGAAAAATACTCAGGTAAATAGTTTCTTACTTTCTCATTTCCAGAGGCCCAATTCGTTATAAAGTTAATCTGGGAATTATGGGGACACTCCCAGGCAGGATGGAGACAAGAATGCTACCTGCAACCACTGTTCTAAAGTAGACTTGAGCTCCCCAGGATGATCAAGGGTCTCAGGGACCTTTTGATTAGAGAATAATAATAATAAATAATAATAATAATAACTAAACTTTATATTGCACTTTGAGGTTTACAAAGCATTTTATATATATTTACATATATGTACATATAAACTCATTTGATTGTCACACCAACCCTTTAGGTAATTATTATCTCTATTTTAGAGATGAAAGACTAAGCCTTGAGAGAAGTTAAGTGACTTGTCCTGGGTCACACATCTACTGAATATCTGAGGCAGGATTAGAACTCAGGTCTTCCTGACTTCAGGGCCAACACTCTATCCACTATGCCAAGCTGCCTCCTAGGATGACCTAGCTCCTAGTCAAACCCCCTAAGACCACTTCATACTGAATCCACAGTCTTAAAGCTGAGTCCAAATGATGACAGCCTTTTATGCAGGAGTAAGTTAGTCAATTTGCTAGAGGAGAAGGTGGCTTTAATATGCAAGTGGGAGAGAAGGAAGGGTAGAACCTTTCACTTCTATGCTTTTGCATGCTATTTCTCTCATCTAAAATGTCATTCCCTTCCTTTCTGCCAATCCATTTTTCTTCCTTCTTTAAAAACTTAGATGCTTGAAGCATTTACTGATTTAATGTCACATTTCCTATGAACTCTCTTCTGCTTCAGTGTTTATATAAACTCTACACTATTTTATCGACATCTGTATGTTGCTTTGTACTTTTCTATTTCTATTCTATTTCATGTACATAAATAGTGGTAAGTTCATTTACGGCAACCACCAAGTGTTTTATTCTCTTTATATCTTCCACAATGCCTAGCTCAGCGTTCACTACATAGGGGGACACTCAGCAAAGGTTGACTGACTTACTTATCTCCTCCAACTTACGACTAAGAATTTGTAGAGCTAATGGTAACATTGCTTCTGTAGCTGTGGCCCCAGTGTTGCTGTCAAGTCTCCATCACGGTCATGGGCCTCTCAGGATGTTGATTGTGCTTTTCTGGACAATATCAACCCTTCCCTGGAGGTTCCCATAGTAACACAGATGTGTTGGAAGGAGCTGAAGGACAAGACTGCAAAGGACACTCAACTGGGTGGAAGGGTAAGCCCAGAACATAGTGAGTAGTGAACACAGCATTTCAAAGTTGGAAGGAACCTGAAAGGTCATCTGGTCCAACCTGTACCTTCTGAGAAATTCCCTCTATAACATCCATGAAAAGTGGTCACCCAGCTTTAGTTTTCAGACATCTAGTGAGGGAGATCCTGCTGCCTCCCGAGTCAATCAGTCTCACTTTGAAATAGCTGTAACTGTTAGGAAGTTATGACTTTTGTCAAGCTGAAATTTATTTCTCTCTGACTTCCACCTATTGTTTCTAGTTATGTTCTCTGAGGTCAAACTGAATAAGTCTAAGTCCTTTTCCATATGACAGCTTACAATATCATAGGAAAGAGCTCTGTATATTGTTGAAAGTGGCAGGACAGCCATTATATTCTCTGATCTGGAGGTGAGGTGCAAAATGGGGATTTGGAGAGTTTGAGCTAGGCCTGGGAAGAAGTCATAGGGTACATCTGCGAAGAGGCCCCTGGTCAAGTCTGAAAGTTTAAAATGGTCTAGAGCAGTATTTGATGATAGCCTATGGACCCCTTCCAAAATAACTTTTTTTTTTTTCCTGAGGGCAATTGGGGTTAAGTGACTTGCCCAGAGTCACACAGCTAGTGAGTGTTATGTATCTGAGGCCAGATATGAACTCAGGTCCTCCTGACTCCAGGGCCAGTGCTCTATTAGAACAACATTTTTAAATGCATAAAATATATGAGATTACAAAGGAAATCAATCATATAAAATCCAATTATCAAAATATCTTTTAAAAACATGTTTGCAAATCCTAGGTTAGAAACTCCTGTTCTACAGAGAAGTTGTAGGTTAAAATTGACATCTGGAGAAAAGTCTTAAGAGTTCAGGTCACCTCTGACAATAATTCCAGGCTATTTTCCTACTGTTCAGCCCCTGAACAGGGGCTGTCCTTCATTTTGGCAATTTGGGCTTGTCCCAGCTTAAAAAGGAAACTTGTTTCTGACCAGGATGAGCAGAATTAGCATGTCATTGCTGTAGCAGTGAATTATATGGCCCTAAAAGCAAGTCCAGAATGATTCAACCAGCCATGGTAATGAATTTCTAACTGCAGAGGATAACAAATTAAAATAAGGATGACCTTGGGGGTTACAGAGGTGACACAAAGGGGAATAGGGAAAGATTACAGTGAGTGTGGGGCTAATGTCAGTGACTCACTCAGGATCCTCTCATTTTTATCTAGCCCCACTCTGTTCTCACCTGATCTGTTCCCCAGAACACCTTGCTCTAGGCTAGGTCATAATCAGTAGTTTCTTTCCCTGGCTGTGGATATTATTTACCTCATTTCTCCCCTTAGTCCTTATCCTCTCTATCACTTGGGTCCTTCTTTGCTTTGATCTTTCTGAAACTCGTCCCCAAAGTGTTCCAGTTGTCGCTACTGTAACTCTGCCTTCCATTCCTTCCCTCCCATCCCCCCCCCACTGCACTCCCTCTCTTGACCCCATTCCTGACTGACTGCTGTGCCATGTATCTTACAGACCTTGAATCCTGACTGTCATTGCTCCAGTTTGAACAATCCCCTGGAGAGCTCCAGGTCCCCCCAGGAGTGCCAACCTCAGCCTCATTTTAGTGGCTTAATACCAAAGACAACCAACTGGAAAAAGCAACTGGAGTTGAGGACTGTTGCTACCATTCACCAGCACACACACAGATGCCAGACCAAGCAAAACCCTGGTACTTAGTCTCTCCCAATAATTATCTTCTCCTATTCCAAGTCCTGGAAGACTGATAAGTGACCATCACTAGCCCATCCTACTGCCTCCTATCCACGTACTTCTAGTGTCAGAGTCTACAACATGAGCCAGGGAAGGAGGAATGGTTATCCTGATTGGTCAGGTTCATCCACTTTGCTGGGTGGATATGCCCCACAGCCTCAGGATAATCAAGGAGCATGTTGTGAAGCCCTTTTTTACCATTAGCTTCACAGATGGATAACAACAGAGGGAGCTACTAGTCTCTGTTAATATAACTGCAAAGATCCCCCCAGCTGAAGACTTCCTCCCTCTCCCTCCCTCCCTCCCTCTCTCTCTCTGTCTCTCTCTTTCTCTCCTGACCTTTGAGTAAGGGCAACAGATGCTCCGCATCAAGAATGACATTTCTGGTCATAGTCAGTCTCTCCCAAGAAACGTCCTTCACCAACATATTTTGTTCCTCGCCTCGTCACCACTCCCTTTGTATCTTTCACATTCTTCTCATTCCTCTCCTGGGAAGTGCCCTAGTTATAGCCTCCCCTTGTCCCTGTAACAAGTAGGCAGCACATAAATAGCTATGACACTCAAAGCATGGATACTTTTCCTCCCAGGAGAGTGTCTTTTGCCTCAAAATTCTACAAATTCTACACTCCTACACTTCCACTTTCTAAAGAAATTTCTCAGCTGGTCCTATCCAGCTTGAATGGCCCAGGGCTTTTGAAAAAATTGCACATCTTTTGGCAAAATCCACATTTCTTAGATTGTATTCCCTTCTCTCAATTCTATTCTCCATCATGATGGTGGACATCTCCTGGTCCTCTGCCCCTTCAACTGTGGATGTGTAGAATCACAAGGGTCACTCTGGGATTTGCATTGATTTTGCAGTGAAAGGGAAAAGTGTCCCTTGAAATTTCAACAACTAATAGTGCAAAAGAGATAAAAATATTAGCTTTTTTTCTCCTCAAATCTGGAAACAGTTGCTAACTTCTGGGCATAGTTAAGCAGAGAAATAATCTTACTTTGGCTTACTGCTGTTGAAAAGTTCATTTGATCATTCACCTATCTCAAGACTAAATATTTCCTCCAAACTAAACATTTTCCTCCTCTAGTTGTTTTCAAAATGTTGTGGTGTGGCAAAACAAGTTTATGAGGAAGCTAACTATTAATGGTCCAACTTTTTGTCTTTATTTCAGGTATATTTTCATACCAGTGAAACTACATAAAACTGTAGGAAACTTCATAAATGTGGACCCAACTAATTCAGAATTTCTGATCTGGACAAAAATTCAGCTTTGTCATGCATGAAAAATATAGACTATACTGCAAAGATATATTTAAAGTACTAAAGAGAATAAAATGGCTTCAATCACATTAGAAGCAATTGTTTATATATTAATAGCTGAGGTACTAATTTAGAAATAGTACTGTTACTATACTATAGATATTGAAAAGTAATAAAATTTTAGAATAATATGCTCTAATTCTGACTTTCTATTAATTAGTCCAGCATTTGTTCTAATTAATACAAATTAGCAAAGTTTTGCTGTATTTTTAATTGCTAAATTAATATCAACTCCTCTAAACCTATCCCACATCATCATACTCCCTACAGTTGTGCCCCTTAACTTGAAATTTTAAGCCTGGGGAAATTATGAAGGAAGGAAGGTTTTTTTTACTGAATTCTTTTTAAAAAATTTTTTAAAAAATCTATTTATCTATTTTAGTTTTCAACATTTGCTTTTATAAGATTATGAGTCTAAATTTTCTCCCTTCTCTCCTCTCCCCCCTCCCCAAGGCTATACATGTATGATCATATTAAACATATTTCTACATTAGTCATGTTGTGAAAGAAGAAAAAGGGAAAAAAACATTAGAAAGAAAAAACAAAAAAACAACAAAAGAGAAAATGCTATGCTCCGATCTGCATTCAGACTCCACAGTTCTTTCTCTGGATGTGAACAGCATAGAAAGGAAGTTTTGAGGGTGAAAAGATGAGTTTGGTTTTAGATTTAAGATGTTGGTAAGATAAGGGGGGGAACCCAGGGGTGGACTGTGTGATATAATGGTAAGAACATTCTGTTCTAGTCCATGATTTACCATTAACTAGTTATGACCTTGGATAAACCTTTTAACTTCTGGGCCTCAATTTCCTTGGCTGTAAAATAAGAGAGTTGATTTAGATAATTACTGAGTTCCATTTTGCTCATGAAATTTAGATTCGGTGAATTCCTAGACCTTATGCTATTGCAGCTTAGACCAATACAATGCTTTACTTCCCTCCAGCCTAAATTTTTCCCTCCCTGTTTTGCAAAGAAATTGGGTTTAATGTGTATTTGTATTTGGATGGGGTGGAGAGAGAGGTGTTCTTGGATTCTTTTTTCTCATATGGATCTTCTTCTCTTCAGCCTTTCCTGGAACAGAACTTCCAGCTGTCCCTCATGGCTGGAACTTGGATGAAAACAATTCTTCTTCATCTGCCAAACAGCTTTGGGATAACATGGGCTGCCTTAGCATGGACAATGGGGTGACAGGTTTGAGTGAGGAGCAGGATGAGAATGAACCTAGTGGAGACCAGGAGCCAGGGCAAGACCTGAGGGCTAGGACAGCTGAGGTAGAGTATGTGGACACTGGCCTTGAGCCAGCCCTGCCTAGAAATTGGCATAGCCAGGGATCTACAATGTCAAATTCCCTAGAGGTACATTGCACAGACTGTAGGGAGAAGAAAGAAGCCTTAAGCCTAGGGCACAGGAGCCTTTGTGGACAGTGTACCAAGCTACGCTGGGAACAAAAACAGGCAGTGCTGGAATTCATTCATACAGAGGCCAGCTATGGGGAGGACCTGCGCACTATCAAGGAACAGTTTCAGTTGCCTATGCAGTCTGCTAGACTGCTGAACCCTGGACAGCTGCTGGTTGTGTTCAGCAACATCCAGGAGCTCATGGAGCTCATTGATCTCAATGAGAGATTTCTGGAGAGCCTGCAGCAAGAGATTGCCCAAGCACTGTCACAGGTATGGGGTATCAGAGGGGCTGCCCTTTTCTCCCAGCATCCATGTTACTCTAATCAGATTTAATGTTTTCAAGGGCTTTAGGTATCAGGTGCCATCAACACCTAGTGGAAGAATTATTGTACTGAGGACTAGCTCCAATTCCTCAGTTTCTTCCCAGTTTCTTCTTCTTCAGCACATTCCACTACCAGGACTCTTAGTTCTCTTTCTTTTATTGTGTACTTGTAACCACATACATTTGGACTAAGCTTGCCCGTGTTTAGAAGGAACCAATATTAAAAATGATAAAAGATATATTGTGATTCAACATTTATATCCAAACTAGGTTTTTTCTAATTATGAGTTGCAGAAAGACATGAAGAACTTGGAAAGAATTCAGAAGGGAGCATACAGGAATAATGAAAGGGTTAGGAAGTTTGATGATCATGGAAGGGGATTATTTATTTAACTTGGAAAAGAAAAGTCTAGGAGAAGTGGTCTCCAAAAATCATTTCAGATTATGATAGAGAAGAGTAATAAGCTACTTTCCATCTCTAGTAGGGAAGGTACAAACAGAACAGACTTAACATGAAATAGTAGACAGGGCACTGAACATGAAGCTGAGAAGACTGGGGTTCATATCTTGTCTTATCAATTTATTAGCTGTGTGACTCATGGCAAGTCATTGACCTTTTCAAGGACTCAGTTTCCTCATCTATAAAATTAGGAAGTTAGAATCAAATGACCTGTAAGGTCCCTTCCAGCTCTAAATTTGTGATTCTATCATGAAATCTTGATAGGTTGATATACTGTCTATGCTTGTATCATTTTTACCTTGGAAACACATTTTTAAAGTTAGAAATGGCCCTGGGACCCTTTCCTAGGGAAGGAAGAATTGGGCAGCTACACTGTTTCCTTCTCCTTCCCTGATAAAACCTTGGTCGGTGAGTGGTTGGGGTCTCTGCCTCATGTTTACAGGGTGATGACGACCTGATGACTGTGTGCATTGGTGAGATCTTCCTGGAGTATGTCAACATGTTGCCTGCTTTCCGGACTTACTGTCTTCAACAGGCATCCTCCATAAGCACTCTTAGCACCCTGGAGAAGGAAAAGGAGCTACTTCGGTATGGAATGGAGTAGAATATTGGGTGGTGGGGGTGGAGATCATATGGATGAGGTATGTAGGCACAGGGACTATGCAGGCACTTTCATTGCCTCCTGAGGCATCAGTCCATTCCCCTTTTTACAGCTCTAATAGTTAGGATTTCCCTTCAAATCTGCTACTCAATAAAATCTCTGAGACCAAATAGAGCAAGTGAACAAGTGTAGTTTTTTCTCTCCCTCCCCCCACAACCTCACTGCTTATGGAAAGAGATGAGCAATAATAGTTGGTAAATAGGAATCAAAGGGTTAAAAATCGATGCTAACAATCAAACACTACTCACCAATGACTCACAAAAAAGTCAGTGTCTCCAGTTGCATTTTAAAAATCTTTTAGATAATTTAAAATGTTATTTACTGAATTACATTCACATTGTTTTTCTTGTTCTGGTACCAAACTTTGCAGTTAGGGCTTTTCTTTTCTCTTTAAAGGTTACCTGAGTGCTTATTGTCAAATTAACACATTATAAAAATTTCCCTTATGGTTATGTTTTTTCTTTTTATTAAAAATTAAATTATGATTATGAAAAAACCTGAATTTCAGACCTACATATGAATACACAACCAGGCACATGGACAATCACATACCATATTACTATCTCCCAAGATAAAGCCAACTCAATATTAAGTAAACAAAACCAATTTCAGATGCTGCTACTCTAGTTTGAAAATTAGGCTGAACTTTTGGGTAAACCTCCTAATACCCATAGTCTCTTATCAGAGCCGTTTATCATTATGGATTATTTCTATTGCTCTATCAGTAGGGATGCTTTCAAAGTGGGTTAGGCAGGATCACTTCCATGTTGTGAATGACATTAGGTGCCGACTACTGCTAAGGCCAGGAAACCAAGTGTAGTTTGCCAGGCAAGCAAAGTGGGAGAGTAATGGGGGATGTGTCAGGAAAAGATATAGGAGGAAAGTTGGATGTGATTGATGTATTATTCTTTACTGAGTGCTCCTTTTGGATCCAACTCCACTTGGCATTGTGAAGAATATAGAGGGAGGGAGAAACAAGATTCCTTGTCCTTGGGGTCTGTCATATTGTCCCAAGTGTTTACCTTACAGAAGTACTTCTTCTTGGGGTATCTGTGACTTTGATGCTAGGGTTTCATGAGTATAGGTTCCAGCCTGGAATTTTTGGTCAATCAATGTGAGTGATGTGGAATATAAGCCATACTGTATCACAATTATTCTACTGGTGATGCTTCTGGCCACAAATCATTGAAAATTCAATTTCTGAGGAATCCAAATTGTAGGTATGTCAACAATAGAGAGAAACCTGATGTGTATAAATGGAATATTATTAATAGTAACTTACATATGAGAAGTCATGTAAAAGATATCAAGACAATGTTATAACTAGAAAAGTCATGTATTGATCATGAAGTCTAAGTGACTGAGTGCAATATCAGTATAGGGTAAAGAGTGCTGTTTGAAGACTGAGGGTCTGGGTTCAAACTCCACCTCTGCTATTTACTACTTGTGTGACCTAGTTTCCTTATCTATAAAATTAGGTCAGATGGTCTCTGGGGTCCCTTTCAGTTCTACATCTAGGATTCTATGGTGATTGAAAATCTCTTTTTTTAGGTTATATGTTGGTGCATTGGTAAGAAAGAATAACCTTATCCTCATTTTCTCTTTTAATTCCCTAATCCCCAGCATTTTCCTCCATGCTTCTCAAACTGACAACACGGCACTGAGACGGATGAACCTGCGCTCATTCCTGATGGCACCATTGCAGCGAATCACCAAATATCCACTTCTGTTGAGCCGAATCACACAGGCCACGGCTACCTTCCACCCTGACTACAGCTGCCTATGTGAGGCCACAAGCCACCTAGCCTCTTACCTGGAGCATATCAATAGAAAGGCAAGACAGGATGGTAGCTTGCCCTGGGCTCTGGGCCCCTTCCGCCAGAATGTCTGGCATCTTCACGAGCCAGCTGCTGCCATTGATCGACGGGAGCTGGCAATGAAGACCCTAGGCTGGCCTTGGGAGGAGACTTGTTTTGTTATGGAGGGAGGACTGCAGCTGGCTCAGCCCCCTGATGGCCCCTGGACTAGAAAGGGCAGTCGAACCCTGAAGTTCCAGACTTTGCAGGTGATACTAATGGCTAGGCTACAGAGACCTGCTGAAAGTGGTGCAAGACATGGGGTCCCAGGTCAGGGGCCAGTGGGAGATGCTGCATTAGTGCTAATTCGTGACAAGAATCATGGTAAACTGAGCTTGTTGAGGAGCCCAATTAGGTTGCGCCACTGTGTGGTATCAGCTGACACTATTTGCAAGACCTTTGAGTTACTGGAGATACAACAGGGTGCCTTTATCCTACATGATGATGACTATGCCCATACTCAGCTTTGGCTACATCACATCCGTGGTTATGCCCGCCAGCTAGGCTCCTGGAAAAGGCGTCGCAATGCACTACCCAACATCATGATCAGTATTCCCAGCCATACTTGATCCTAGGGATGTCCCTAATTAGGGGTAAAAGGGATTGAAAAAATGGTCTCAATTCCATTAAATCCCTAAAATGTATCTCTCTAGGAAGGATCTAGGTATGTGTTAGGGACCCTATGCCCCTTTCTGAGCTAGGGAGCCTAGATCCTTCAGTTGGAGTGTACCATTTTCCCTACTGAGGCTAGAGAAAGGGGATTCATTACTTTTAGTCAGACTTAGTTTCTCTCTTCTATTAGTCTTGGTGGCCAATCTATACCCCTTACCAAGTTCTTAAGAACTGAAATAAAGCTCTATTCAGCCCAGGGACCATGCAGTTGTCATTGCAGATGATCAGGAAGCAGATTCTATGTCTTTCTCTAAATCCTTAGAATCAGAGCTTGAAAGTGAAGGTGGTACAAAACACAGTCCTCTTTTTACTAGATCAGACTATTTTAGAACCATGTTTATACATTTTTCCTCTCACCCAACCCCCAAACAAATACAGAGGTACTTCTACTTTGTCTGGTGCCTTTAATCCAGGGGTATTTCTGGGTTATGGCTGCAGTGAGGAGCTGGCCATTTGGGCATGATTAACAGAGAAGGAGGAAAGGTAAAGTAGCTGGAAAAGGAAAATTCAGGAGTGATATGGCTGGGGCAGGGGGAGTAGGGGGAGGAAGGCACTGGGTGTGAGGGTGGGTATTGCCTGCTTTCTAGTGTTTCCTAAGGTTGGCTCTGAATTGGAGGGCGGAGGGTCACCAATCATTGTAACAGATCATTTTTCATAAATAACTACCCTATTTATTCATTTATTTATCCAAAAAAGTACATATTGGATGTGCACTTTCTGCAAGGCACTGTAGTCAGAGCCCTGAAGCAGAAACTAAGATGAATGGTCTCTGCCCCCAAGGGGCTAACAATATAATTAATTCCTTTCTGCGTGTTAAGGTTCTTAATTTTGCCATTCCTCCTGATTCCTTTAGTCCACTTTTAGATTCATTCATAGATTGAGTCATTCAACAAATAACATATAAGGTACCTTGGGAGATGCAATGATGAATAAGATACTGTGTTTGTTTGCCGTCATAGAGTTTATAGTCTAATAAGAGGGTTGTTATAGGCATATAAATAACTGTAATATATAAAGTCTTCCATTACTTCAGAGGAGGGATAGATTTCTTCTGACTGAAGGTAACAAGGGTGGCTTTTTGGAGAAGATGGTACTTGAGCTGGGCCTTGAAGAATGGGTAGATATTGGTTAGGCAGAGCAGAAGGGTAAGGGATTTCAGCCAAAAGGGACAATGCTATGGAGTTGTGGAACCAAAAAGTATGTTTGGGAAACACATAGTCCAGGCTGGCTAAGGCATGGGGTTTGTGGAAGGAAAAAGTAGGAGATAAACCTAGGAAGATTAGATTGAGACAAAATTGGGGAGGGCCTTACTTGTCAGATGGAATTTGGAGTTTACTTAGTAGGTAATGGGTAGCCATTGAAGGTTTTTGAACAGGGAAACAACATGAGAAAATTATACTTTAGTAAGATTAATATGGCAGCAGTGTGTTGAATGGATTAGAGGGGGAAGTTGAGGAAAGGCAGAGATTAGTTTATTTTAAGAAAAAGCTTCCAAACAATTTGAAGCTGTCCCAAAGTAGAATATGCCTCCTCATTGGAGGTCTTCAAGCAAAGGCAAGATGATCTCTTGTCAGGGATGCTGTAGAGGGGATTTTGATTCAGGTACAGGTTGGATTAGATGGCCTCGGAGGTCCCTTCTAAGTGTGAGGTTCTTTGCTTCTGGGGCAAGCCTGGAGATCAGGATGACCAATTACAAGGCTATCGCAACTCCTCTAATTCAGCTCCCAAGAGTTCCTTGTACTTTCTAAAAGTCTCCCAGGTAGGAAGAGTACATACAAGTCCCCCAAAGACTTGAAACAATTAATGACGAGAAACCAGCCTTCTAGATTCCAGTTCTGCACTTTGATATGTTTGCATTTCTAGCTGCTGGCCTGAGTTTCTTGCTACTATTAGGTTACTGGACTAGGGCTATTAGGTTAGGGAGAACAGAAGGGAATCCATTCTCCCAGAGAAGTCATTGTGAATGGTATAACTAGAAATGTGAGACTCCAAATTAAAAAACAATTCAGAATTTTTTTTCTCTTCCTGAATTTCTTCCCTCTCTCTTCCTGATTCTCTTTTTCGCCTTGTTCTACCCTCCTTCTCTAGCTTCTTTGTCCAGGGCAGCAGATTTAGGCCGTAGACAAAAAGCAGAGGCCTCCGCAGCAGGAGAAACAGGGTCAAACAAAGAAATTGATGGACAGCATATGAAATAATTGTTGTGGTTGTTGTTGTTTTTGGCAAGGCAACTGGGGTTAAGTGACTTGCCCAGGATCACACAGCTAGTGAGTATCATGTATCTGAGGCCACATTTGAACTCAGGTCCTCCTGACTCCAGGGCTAGTGTTCTATCCACTGGGCCACCTAGCTGCCCTAGCATATGAAACAGTTGAAGGGGAGAGAAGAATGGAGGAGAAAGGAAGAGAAGAAGCCAGAATGGGAGTGACAGAAAAGATGAAGAAGAGGGAAAAAAAGAATAAGGGAGAAAAGGGATGAAAAGAAACCACTGTATATCTGTTTTAAAACTATTCTATTATTTTCTGTTCATGTTTTAACATTTTTTAGGGGAAAAAAATCAAGGGCAGTTTGTGTATAATTGTATTTGATTTACTATAAAGTAATGTTTATACTAAACCAGCTTCAAAGGTTAATAGGGTGGAGGGAGTTAGCTGAAATGACATACAAGCTAGCTTCCAGAGAGTCCTGATTGGAAAAAGGCGATCACGAGGTTTTGTATAAAGACCCAGGGAAGATGAAGTCTCCTGCTTATGAATTTGTGAAAACAGGGGCACAAAATCTTGCTTCTGCAGATGGAAACGGAGCTTTTTGTAGAGTAAATTTCAAGGAGCAGAAAACAAATTACTCTTATGGGGACACTCTATTGAGCTCACTGAAAAGTGTTTAAGAAGTCAGATTTTTACCTTCTTTCTCAAGAGCCAGAGTTTAGTAAGCTTACAAAACCTGTTAAAAATATGAAGAAGTTTTAAGGGTTTTTGCTAGTCAAAGCTTTATGAGTAAGAGAAAACAAAGATTCTTCTTAACATAAAATAAAGAAAACCAAAAATTACCAAGCAATGATTTTAAAAGTTGAACTTTAGAGTGAAAAGGGTACAGTATGGTACAAGGTATATCTTTTTAAATGATGCTCTGCATTTTATTTGAAAAGGCACACACATGCTAGCAACTAATTATTTATGCTGGTAATTTTAATAAAGAGTTATGTTTTTATAAAATAAATATAACTGACCTTATCATTTGTTAATCCATGCTTTCTAGGTTATCCACACCTGGGGAAAGTTTGGCTTTGTGGTCTACTAATCCAGCAGGTGACATGCCCCAACAACAGACTGGAACCAGATTAAAATGTAATTGGGACATATTTAACAAAACAAAAAATACAACAAAACATAAAATATTGCATTTAAAACTAAGTCATTATGCAGCCTTTAGGGATCCTTAGGTTTGCATTAATGGCCCTGTTTCTATTTAAGTTTGACACCACTGGATTAAACTATAACCAAGGCACCATCTGATATAGACCCAGTGTCCAGTAAGACAGAGTCAGTTTTTCATGAGGCATGCTGCCTTAAGGGCATAGATTTTGAGCTGAATGAAACCTTAAGAGCCATCTAATCCAACCCTTTCATTTTATAGGTGAGGATACTGAGGCCCAGAGGTGTTAAATGACTTGCCTAAGGTCATACAGGTAGTGTCAGAATCAGGATTTGAACCTGGATCCTCTGACTTCACATTTGGTGTTCTTTCTACTGTACCACTACATCACATACAAATGTAAAAAAGAACCTCAAAAAGGAAAAAAAATAGTCAAGTGAAGGAAATTATAACCCAGTTATTATCCATAGCTTGTTCCCATTATAATTACTATGAAAAGAACATAGAAAAAAAATGAGGAATGCTCAAGTGTTCACAGGTGATCAGGAGAAGACCCTGCTAAGGTCTCTTTCCTCCAACTCTGTAGCCCACAGCCATGGTACATCCTGTGAGTAACATGTTTTCAGTTTCAAGGTCATCAAAACATCTCTAAGTTATTTTCTTTTGCAAAAATGAGGGAAATAACAAGTCCTGAGGTTGGTAGTCCAAGTAAGGGAAGGATTGGGGGAAGGTACCTATTCCACCAAAATCAATGGTTAAATCACCAGATAATTTAATAGAAAACTTCAGAAAATTCTGTGCTCTTAAATAGGATGAATGGTTAAGTGCTACACATAAAAGTCAAATGAACAATTAGATAAATTGCATTTTTTCCTTATTCCTATGTAGAAAAAATCCAAATCTTCGATACCTCTGAGTTTTTTTTTTAGATGAATGCTATGTTTTATCTTATTAGGGTTTTTGTAAGCTTTAAAAATGAATGTTTTTTTACTTGTGTCTTTTCCAGTGCTAAATTTCTTGCCCCAGAAGATCACTGTGTACATGAATGTATGTTTTCCCTCTATTGCCACAACATTCTTACCCTCCTTATACCTTTCCACACCCATTTTGTTTTCCACCTTTACTCCAATTTCCCCTGCCTTCTTGGTTATATAAGACTCCCTACCCAGGTACCTATTTGGTTCCTACCCTTGGCAGTACTCATTAACTTCTGAATTTTCTGCTTTGCCCACTGTTAAATTACCCAGATGTTCTCACCCTGTGTAGTTCTGTACCGGCCGCACCGACCTTATGCCGGCTGCGCCGAACACTCCTCCTATAAGGAGCAGGCTGCCAGAGTCATACTCACTCACCAGTCTTCGGTCCTCAACCGGATAAACACACACAGAGACGGACTCATCGGGAGGCTGCCAACACCAGAGCTTTATTCAGAGGCCGTCACAGCAAGCCATCACAGCAAGGCCAAACAGGAAGGCAGGAGCCAAGAGAGCGCCCATGATCTGACCACGCTTGTCCTTAAGTACCT